CCCAACCTCAAAATGTAACACCATCGTGCCAAAGGGGTGCATGGCCCAAGGGGAAAAGCGAGTCTCGAGTGATGCCTGAAGGAGGGGACGAACCGGAGGGAATTATAACCTTGGTGGAGTATGGGCGCTCTGCTCCGCTGGACCAAAGAATTGACCCAACCATGGAAGAAAAATGGACGAATATTTAATAAAAATAAAGGTAAGAATAGAAAGGAGAGTCTATGGAGACTATAGGCGAAGAGAGGCTGGCGGCAATAGCCGAAGAGGAAGAAAAGGACAGTTTGGAGGAGAAAAATAATTAGGCAAAAGAGATGAGAAAAGGGGAAAATGATTACATGGGGAAACAGTGGAGGAGAATGGCAGTGAAAGAGAAACAGGAGATAGTAATGATAAGTACAAGTAGGTTCAAAGTACCCAGACCTCCCGGATTATACGTAGAAGAAGATGAAAATGAAGGAATTGTGACTAAATTATAGTAGTAGTATAGTAGAGGAAAACGGGAGAGAGAGGACATCAAAAAAAATTGTCTACAAGCTGAAATAAAGGAGAGGAGAAGAACCAGACCGTATGGAACGAATGGATAGAAAAAAGATATGGATAGCAGCATCAGTAGCATTAGGTGAGGAGAAATCAAAAAAAGTGCTAGAGTTGGCAGCAAGAGGAAAGAAGATAATGGCAGAGATATACAGCAAAGCGTGTAAAGAGAGGAAAGTAGTAGCCAGAGAAAAAAAAGGGATAGGAAATCATCCTAAAACCGAAAGATAAGTCATATGCTGAATTTATAAAAGGGTTAAGGAAAGAGCTAGAAGAAAGAGATGATGTCGTCATAAAGGTTACAAAAACTAGAGAAGGAGCATCAAGACATGGATGCACAACAAGGGTGGTGGCAAAAGATGGAAGAGTGAAGAGAGGTTGATGCTGGCGGACATGGATGGTGTAACTACAGCAAAAAAAAACATCGAATCGGTGGAGACATTTGCCGGTAGGAAGGAAGCATGTAAAGTAGTTGGAAAAATAAGGACAAACAGGGGAGAAAGTAGAGTTTGTTATATGTAAGTGGATGAGGACAAAGCAAGAAGACTCCTATTGGAGGAAAAAATAAAGATCGGGATGGTACACATCACAGTGAAGGAGATGGTAAAGGTGACACGTTGTTATCAATGCCAAGCATATGGCCACATAGCAAGAGACTTCGAATGGGAATCCAAAGGAGGGTGCTGGAAGTGCGGGATGGGGGATATATGCAATCCCAGTGCCAGAGTAACACTGTGAAATGCTTAAATTGTGACGAGATAGGTCATATTTCTACGTCCACTTGGGGTCCTATATTCGGGGGAGTTATCAGAAGATCGAGACGTGAAGGTGAAGGAAGATTGAGAGGTTACTGACTAAGCGACAAAATGGTAAATAAGCGTGAAAGAAAACGTATGTTAAGAGTGCTACAAACAAATGCTAGCTAATAAGCTCGTTGTGGTCGTCACGACCGAAAGAGAAATTGACATCCTGTTGCTGCGAAGCCAAACCCCACGTTAGTGTGCATTAGGGAGTGGTTGGTGAATACGTCGTTTGTTGTATCTGGTATTGCATTTTGGATGCGCTGTATCATTTCCAGGAATTTATAATGCGCCCTTATTTCTATTCCTCTGTAAAATAATGTCACCTCTTCTAATGAAGAAGCACTTGCTGGTGTTGTAGGCTACGCAAATGAGTCTGGTTGGATGGACAAATACCATTTTCTCATATATCTCGATCATTTGAACAAATTCACAAAACCTACTCAGGAAAATCCAGTTCTGCTAATCTTGAACGGTCATATTAGTCACAACAGCTGGAAGCTGTTTTACAAGCTAAAGAAAATAAACTGCGTCTCTAACCGGCGGATCTGATGCTTATTCTCTTCAACCTGGCACCAGTAAGCAAACTGATGCAGATATCAATGGTAGTTCTTTCACAGACACACTTTAACTGTTGTTTCCAAAACTCAGCCAGCATAAGAAAAAGCACAAAACCAATACTAAAAAAAGGTATCAAAAATTTTGACAAGCACCCCAAATAGAGATGAATTTGAGAAACAAAAAGAAATTGGGCAAATTAGAGGCAAGATAACAAAACCAAAACCACGCAAAGAATTGCACAAGCAGCAATTTTGAAGCATGCGCCAAAGAAACAACAGCCTATGAAGCATAGCAGTGACAGTAAAGAAGATTCAGATTCGGAATATATTTATTGCAATGAATCTTATGGTTGGAGCAAGATGGAAGAGGACTGGATAAAGTGTCAGCAATGCAATAAGTGAACACATGGTGCATGTGCCAGTGTGGAAGAAGACGAAAGTATGTTTCTATTCGAATTTTGCAAATACTAACTGATGGTTTCATTTGCCCCGCATACTGGGGTCTACAGGACACGACGACATTTTCCCTTTAAATTGTAGTTTTTTTAAACGTGCTCCTTTATTTGCATTTTTTGTTAAGCATTTTAATAAAAAATGTAATTCAAAACTAGGGTTGAGGTGGTGTTTTCATCACTTATTAAGTTTGGGAGATGCAAGTAAAAAAGTGTTAGGTGGACCTCTTTGCCCCGGTCTCCTCTACAGATTTGATTTTCAAACAAAAAATGAATTTTAATACAACTCATGAGATATTTATAGGTTTTTTTCCTTTTTTGTTAAATTTTGAATACAATCAATGTATTATTTTAGGTTTTTTAGATTCCATCTTTAGTTCAAAAGCGTAACGGAATATCCAGACAGCCTTTGTTAGCTTAAAGGTGGTACTTGTGCGTGCGATTTTCCAATGTACGTTTCCTATCAAGGATAACTCCGAGAATGATAGCATTATTCGTTTAATTTTCAAGAGTTACACCGGTAATATCCTCCAATTAGCGGGTGAAAATCTTCCTATTAGTGATTTGGTGACAGTCTTTTTTCAAACACTTGGTAGCTTTTAGATTTAAGCAGCTTTTATGCGATAGGCAATAATACTGTCATGATTTTCTCTAAACAGTATAATTCGATTATCTGTATATCTCAGAGCACGAAATCCTTTTTTTGAATTTCGCTAATGGGTTGTCAACCACTAGTGACTACAGTAGAGGTTATCAGACTCCTCGAGGACAATCCTTTATTTTTCTTGTAGTGGTTGACTGATCTTAGACGTACGAAATATTTTTTCTACCTTGGTTAAACATATTAATTGATAGAGATTAACAATAATATTGCGGGTAGCGGGTAGGAACTCTTTAAATTCTTAAAGATAGTCCTATCAGGGAAACTAAATCAATCCCTGTCCTCCGCAGATTCCGGGGGTTTCCTGACCCGGGAAACTACTACCTGTTTAGGGTCCCTTGTCCAGGGTTACGGATGAATGTGCACATGTCATCTCAATATTTCCGCCAAACCGGGAGCCATTCTGTCTCCGGCTTCTATATAACATGTAGCTTCTCCATTTTTAAAAATTTTGAAGTGTTTGTTTGTCTTTGTGTATTGTATTGTTATGTCCAAATTTACATGTATGTCATTCTGCTCATGTCGGATAGGCCACAACTGACGAAATGCCCCTGAGGATGATCTATTGATCGAAAGTACTTGGGCAAGATTTAATTAATTAGTGTGTTCGATATTTGCCTTGTATACCATCAAAGTTCAATTATTCGAACATTCAACCTTATATTGATTTAGAAGATTGTTAAGGATTCTATGGGTAGATAGAGTCACGAATGCAGAAGTGTTAAGGAGAATAGGCATTGAGAGGGAAATGGAAAATACAATAAAAGAAAGGAAATTGCAATATGTTGGACATATAATGAGAGGCAAAAGATTCAACATCTTGAGACTTATAATTCAAGGAAAAATACAGGATAGGAGAAGCGTAGGAAGAAGGCACGTTTCCTGGTTGAAGAACCTGAGACAGTGGTTTGGTTGCAGCTCAAGGAAATTGTTCAGAGCAGCAGCCTCGAAGGTCAGAATAGCCATGATGATTGCAAACCTTCGTCGCGGGGATGGCACTTAAAGAAGAAGAACAATAAGATTTGATACAACACTATTAAATAAAAACCTGTATTTTTGTCTGAGAAAGAGATTGAAATTTTTCATTTGTGTATTACAGTGCCGCCCGTTATTTCCATTTCACTGTAAATGCCATAAAAAGTGAAATAAGTGAGTCAACAATGCACCCTGTATAGAAATACCGGCCTGAAAATGAAAATTAATCATTAGATGAACCACCGACTGAAACAATTCGTAACGTACGCGATGACCATACGATACTAGCGTATATGCTTGGTTAATTCCAGAGTGCCAGTGAAATTTTAAAATTAGAACCGCCAGCCAGTCCGTTGGCAACTTCGAATCGGCAAAGTTTGAGCGCGGAACTTTTAAAAATAGAACGCTTTTTAAACCGACTCCCGCAAAGGGATAAGTGTCGATAGAATTTTTTAACGTTTTTATTTGTTTGGTGTACTTGTTGCTTTTTAGGATCTGTTTCGAAATGGATAAGTTTAAGTTTGTTCTGATAGTTGGATTTTTGAGCTGTGGTAAGTTTACGAATTATATTTAAGTATGAGTTATGTTTATAATAATATTGAATATTATTTTTTATTACCCATTCGTTTAACCATCACCATATTTTTATTACTGACGAGTTTAAAATATTTTTTCTTATTTATCGTAGTGTGAATGTTTGCACGTTTTTCGTAGATACTTTACAATGTTTATTCCTCAACGTTTATTCTTTCTTAATAACATTACTTCCATTATCCTAATATTATATGTAGGTCTTTTTTATTTTGGAGTTGATTATTTGTGTTATAACTAATATTTTTCGTTTAACTGTCTTCATTTCTTTCTCCTATGTTTTTCTTCATACCTGTTTCCCAATTGTTCTAATCTTAACCTGTTTTATTGGTTTATGTTAATTTGATTTATTTATTACTAATTCTATGACCTAGTTTTTCGTTGTATATTATACAAATGGCATTATTTTAATAGTTACTTTCATATTTACCTACATATTTTTGCTGATTTATTTTCTCTATAGGTAATACTTACTGCCATTTTGTGTTTAATCAATCGTTACACTGTTTTGTAATATGCTACCAGAATTATTTGCGTAATATCGTTATCCTTTTTATAAATAAAATTTTTATCTGTTTGAACATTTTCTAATATTTTTCTTCCTTAAGTACGATCTTCTTATGAGAGGTTGGTTATTATCCCAGTTACTTTGAATTTTAAAACTACAGCTCCGTTTATGTTAATTGTTAATAGGAACTACGGGCATACGAGTAGAACAATACCACTTTCTCAAATTATTTAACCAGGAAACTCGCTTTCTTCCAATGCTCCTCTTCTCTTTTTTAGCTTCTCGTATCATCTTTAGTCTTCTTCTTCAAGTTTCGCTCCTATCGAAGATTGGAAATCATTCTGGCAATTATAATTTCGTTGGTTACGCGCCTGAATAGTTCAATTGAACTGCATCCAAACCATTCACGGAGATTGCGTAGCTACGAGATTTTACGTCTTCCTACGCTTCTTCTACCTTTGATTTTACCCTGGATTATATTATTATATTTGATTTTACCCTGCAAGTATTCCAATTTCCTGATTTTTTCCTAAGTTTTGCGATTCATCCATGATATTTTCAAAATACATCGGTAACACCACATTTCGAATGCCACAAAAGTTTAAAAAAAATATAACAATGAAGCATTCTTATCCGGAGCGATATATTGATATCGCGCTTACAAAAAAGTTTTTTCATTCTATTAAAAGTTGACCTTGCAATTTCAATGCGGCATTTTACTTCTTTTGTCTGATCAGTATCTTCTGTGATCTATGCTCCAAGGTATTTGTACGAAGATATTTGTTCAATTTCTGTATTATCTGGTACTAGCTTAACTTTGATGTTTTGTACTTTTGTAAATACCATAAACTTGGTTTTCTTCAAATTTATTTTAAATCCATAATCGTTGTAATATATATTAAGTTGTTCAGCAAGGTGTTACAGTTCTTCTAGTGTTCCTGCCAGAAGGACGGTGTCGTCAGCATATCTTATGTTATTAAGTGGCTCACCGTTTATTATTCCTCAAGGCCCTCACTGACCTCGGCAATCGCTAATTCTGAGATGGCTTCACTGTATAAATTTAATAACAAGGGTGATAAAATACACCCTTGGCGGACCCCACGGCGAATCTGGATATCCTCGGTCAGTTCATTTTCAACTTTCACTTTTGCTGTTTGGTTCCAATAGAGGTTACATAAATATGATTCTAATGTCTCTACTGTCTATGTTCTTATTTAATAAAATTTCTTTAAGCCGATTATGCTGCACTCTGTCAAATGCCTTCTCAAAATCAATGAAACAGGCATATACTTCCTGATTTATATCTAAGCATCTCTGCGAAAGAACACTTACTGCAAACAGTGCACCTCGTGTTCCCAGTCCTTTTCTAAATCCTATTTGTGTATTATTATGCCTTCATCTAATTTCTTATGTATTCTATTGTGAATTACTTTTAAACATAATTTCAAGACATAACTCATTAACTCTATGGTGCGATGTTCATTGCACTCCTTTGCATTGGCTTTTTTTGGGAAGCAGTATGAATGTTGATTGGAGCCACTCTTTAGGTATTATGCCTGTTCTATATGGTATTAAATAGATCCAAAAGAAGATCAATAGATTCAGTATTCACAATTTTGAGTAATTCGATAGGAACTTCATCAGGCCGGAAGATTTACCACCTTTAGTTTGTTTTATTGCATATTCAATTTCTTCTCGTATAATGTCAGACCCAGTATCATCCTTAAATTCTTGTTGAGCTTTTGTTCTCTCTTTGTCTTCAAAAAGTTGTGCTATATATTGTGTCCATCTCTGCATGCATCATCTTTAGTAAGAAGTATTTATTTTCTACCTTTTCACGACCTAGTCATAGCTGTATTTATTCATTACAGTTGTGCCTTGATACTCCGACAGGTATGGGACCAAAGGGGTGTCGGATTAGAATAAGTGTACGGATTACTGAAAGTGATTATAAATTTGGCATTGTTTTGCTAGCAGTAGCCTAAAATATTCTTAAATTTTATGACTAAAAAGCTATCCAGATTAATATGCAAATGAAACGCCCATTTCGGCTAACCAAAACATGTTTATTAAAAGAAATATGGAAGCTAATAAACTTAATGTACATACAATGTGTAAATAATAAATTATAAATATTAGATGGGAGCTGAAAGGATTAGAAAGGATGCTGAAGATTTCGTGGACAGACATCAACATCTAGAAAAATTTAAGGATTCACATTGATGAGTGCTAAATCAGTTAACATTTCTTCCGAAGTTCTATTTCTAAGCCAAGTCTTAGACGCTTCACGCCTTAGTTGCTGCACTGACGGGTCTTCTTCTTCTTCTTCTTCTTCAGCCTGTGTTCGTCCACTGCTGGACATAGGCCTCTTCCATTTGCTTCCATCGATTTCTACTTTTGGCAATTCTCATCCACTGCTTGCCCGCGACTTGTTTGATATCGTCTGTCCACCTCTTCTGCGGTCTGCCTACTCCTCGCCTGTTCTCTCTTGGTCTCCAGTTTGTTAATCTTTGTGTCCATTTTTCGGGATTATCTCGGGCAACGTGTCCGACCCATTGCCACTTGAGCCTTGCAATACGTTCTGAGACATCAGTAATTTTTGTTCTTTCACGAATGACGTTATTTCGAATCCTGTCTCTCAAACTAATCCCTAGCATGACCCTCTCCATTGCTCTTTGGGTTGTACTGAGCTGCTCTAAGGTTTTCTTTGTGAAGGCCATGGTCTCCAGTCCATATGTAGTTACAGGCAAGATACATTTGTCATAAACTCTACGTTTTAGACACATTGGTATATCTTTATTCTTCAAAATAAAGCTTAATTTGCCGAAAGCTCCCCAAGACAGTTGTATGCGTCTTTTTATTTCGGCTATTTGATTTTCTTTGCCGATTTTAATGGTATGTCCAAGATATATATTATATAATAATATATATATATATATATATATATATATATATATATATATATAGTGGTCTACATTTTCAAGACTGACGTTGTCAATAACAAGATTAGTTTGTAAATTACTCATTATTTTTGTTTTCTGAAGGTTAATTTTGAGACCTATTTTATTTGACTGCTGGTTTAATTCCTTCAACATTTGCTCCAGTTCCTTGATATCTGTACTAAATAATACTATGTCATCCGCAAACCTCAAATGACTCAAACGTACACCATCAATGTTTAGACCTTTTTCCTCCCAGTCAAGCTGTTTGAATACATTTTCCAATGCTAAGGTAAAAAGCTTTGGTGACATAGTATCACCTTGTCTAATACCTTTATCAAGGCGCATTTTTTCAGTTTTTTCGTCTTCATTGATTTTGATGTGGAATGTGGCCTGGTCATAAATGGTTTTAATGAGTGTAGTGTACCGTGAGTCTATTCGAGCATCCTTCAGGGCTGACAAAAAGGACCAAGTCTCAATACTATCGAAAGCCTTGTGAAAGTCGATAAATGCCATATGTAAAGGTACATTATATTCTGTGGTTTTTTCTACTAGTGTTCTAATGGTTTGTAAGTGATCATTAGCGCCAAACCCTTTTCTAAATCCCGCCTGTTCAACCGGTTGATATAAATCAAGTTTTTGTGTTATGCGGTTGGTTATTATTCTTGTTAACAATTTGTATAAGTGTGACAACAAACTTATAGATCTGTAGTTTTCAATATTAGTAGTGTCTCCTTTCTTGTGTAAAAGTATTATTTCGGCGTTTTCCCATAGGCTGAGTATTCTTTTTTCTGTTAGACACTTATTCAGTAAGACTTCCACAACTTCTACAACGCTCATTTGTGCCGCCCATTTTTAACATTTCAGACGTTATACGATCCTCGCCGGGAGCTTTTTTGTTTTTCATTTGCTGTAAGGCATGTCTAATTTCCGAAGAGGTTATTTTAGGGAGGGTTTCCGAGCCGACGTTTAGAATTGTTCTGTGGTCTGTTTCGGGGTTCTGTATAGTAGATGTATAAAGATTCTTATAGAACGTTTGTATTTCCTTGATTATTTGAGTTTTTTTCGGTCACCGTATTCCCCTGTTATTTTTGATTTGAGTTATATTTGATTTTCCTTTAGTTAAATTTGATTTCAATACTCTCATGTTTCTATTGTTTTCGATGGTTTGCAATATTTGTTTTGTTTTGTAAGCCCGCAAGTCTGACCTTATGCTCTATTTAACTTTATTGTTGATAGCTTTATACTCTGGTAATTCTTTCGATGTTCTTCTTCTTTCTTCCATTAAATTAAGTGTTGTTTGTTTCAGTTTCGTTTTTCTGGGATTTTTATTTTTATCACAGATCTTTTTTGCAGTTGATGTTATGTCGTTCGTTAATTTTTGTGTTATTTCATTTATATCTTTCGTGTTGAATACTGGTAGAGGTCCTAGTTTCTTTTTTAGTTCACTTTGATATTCCTCTTGATTCATTTCGAGTGCTTCTATGTTTGGCAATTTATCCTGTGTTAATAA